ATAGAAAATTACAAGCTGAAAAAAAAAATAAAAATTTTTCTTTTCACTTTGTAGATCTATAGCATGTCCAAAAATATTTGAGCAAATTTTTGACCATTTAAACTTGAAGCTTTCCCTACAAAATTATTTTTAAACAATATATATAAGATTTTTTGTTCCTGAATTACTTGCGGAGATTAAGTAAAAAGGAATATTTTAACTTTATTATTCGTAACTCCGTTAAAAATCATCGTATTGCAATTAAAAATAGATTCTTAAAGCTGAAACGTTGCTCTATCAAATGATGTAATTGCTAATTTTTTAAAATAAAATATATGGGTTGCTAAAAAAGTCTTTTTTTTACCAACTTGTAAAAAGATTTTTTCCTTTGTTCAATATATAGAATTTTTATTTATTTTTCATTGAATCATTTAAACACGAATGGAGTTTCTATACTAATATTGTAACTGATGATATTTCCATTACAACGCACGTACAAACTTACAAATACATGAATGCCTATCGCGATACGAAAATTACATAGTAGTCTCTTTCCATGCGCAGTTGTACAAACATTGCACGATGATGGCAGCGTGCACCCGCTGTGGCTTCTGTGGCTGGCGGTGGCACTCGGAATATTATTCCTCATCATGCTCATTATCAACATATTCCTGTGTTCGGCGATGACCTGTAGCTGCACCCGGACCGACATTATCGAGAAGGAGCCGTCAATCATTGAGGATTACGATCCATACCGCAGCTGGCACGGTTCTCAATACGGGTCGAGGTTTGACTTAATTACCTCTCTAAAGCGAATCGCGTGACTCGCCGACAAAGTATCTTTATTAATTGCGTCAATAATATATGATTACGCACTGTATAACCATGCGCCATCCACCATGCGGCATGATAATCACTTAAGTGGCTCGAATCGATTATTTATTGATAAGCTAATGAAATCGCTGTCAGATGAAATGTCAATTTATATATATATATATATAGTACGCATGTGTGTGTGTGTGTGTGTGTGTGTGTGTGTGTGTGTGTGTGTGTCAATTCGGATATAATCTAACGGTGATTTCATTAGCGTCTCAATAATTGATTTGAGCCACTTAAATGACTTTACTCTTTTATTGATCATAAAAAATTAATTTAAGTGTGTGATCGAAGAATTTCAAGTTTCTCTAGCGAAATTGATGATAACCTTTCTGACAATAAGTAAAGTCATATTTAAGTGCGCAGAGTCACGGCAATTAATGTCTCATGTTACACATCACGACGCATGCGATGGCGTGCCTGAACGATCTTTCTTATGTTTAGGTACTCGTTAAACGGAAAGCAAGGGTACGCCTCCGGGGGATCCACCATGAACTCCACGAGGTCGATATCGACGAATAGCGATCATTATGCGATAGTGCACTCTCGACCAGGAAGTAGATATTCCGGTCCTGGACAGAAGCATCATCATCATCACAGAGGACCGCCATCCAACATCGGTTCACACTACTCCGGGAAGTGATGTTCCCGTTAGCTTCATTTATCAAAAACTAGACCTCCATTGTCTTCATTAACGTTACTCTAATTAAACGCAAATTTTATGTATATGCGTCGCTATGGCATTATTTCAACCGCACGAATGACAGGCATTCGGTTCAACCGTAAAATTGCAACCGATGCAACCTTAGAAGAATTTAAAATATTATATAAGAAATATAAAGTTAAAATATTGAACAATGCGTTATTTTTTTTTATTATAAAAAATTATTTGACGAATTGACTTTTGTCGCTTTACGGCTGAAAGTCAACTTACTACATTTGTCGTATATGAAATAAAAAAAACTGTTACTTTCACATTAAAATATAATGAATTAATAATAATAGAAAGTGTTAATAGGCCAAATTTAATATTACATAATGATTCTTAATTTTTCTTTTTTGACAATTTGAAAATTTTGCAGCGCCAAGGATAATAAAATTTGTATGATGCCAAGTATTACACGTATTTCACCGTTTTTCTCACATAGATCTTTTTTTATACTTTTGCACTTGTTAATATCAACGACAATGAACACCTTAGATACAGAAAATGCGGATTAAGTATATTGATGAAATAAAATTTTTTGCGGATAAGCACGAAACATATTCGTAAAACGATACGTATTCACACATTGGTATTTTTATATTTAGCTTTATCATTCGTGGAATGATTCTCGTGCTTTAGATTGCATATGTATCATAATATAATAGTCATAAGCATAGGCACTAGAATTTACAAAACTGCGTATTGATCTTAAATAAGATATATTAGATAAATGCTTTTTGTACATAAATTCATTAATCTAAAAAACATATGTGTCTTTTATTTCTATTGGCAAATATCTTCAGTAATTTGAATTATGCGAAACGTTTATAAATTATAATTTTTTAAAATAGAATATTGTTGCTTCTTCTACTTATTATATCCAAACAGAATAACAAGTCATTATGATATCAAAATGATGTCGAAATAATTATTTGAAATGATTATTAAAAGTTATTTTTTAATCATTTCCGATTTATATTTTAATGTCATTTTGACGTTATCGTGACATGTTGTTCTGTTTGGATAGATAATTTGCGATAGTAATTACGAATTTTCTGCAACTTTCATTTATATTCATGCATAATGTTATGTTCATTTAATGTTTACGAAATATTCAGAGCAATTTTTTTTATTACTATCCGCGATGTACTAGCTAGTCACGTTTGAGTTTATGTATTTTTTTCCATGTAGTCGACAATCATAGTTTATGATCTTTGCATAAAATTATACGAATACTGCGGTAATGTGACAATAATAAACGTTGCTTCAATAATATGCGTCGAATGAGAGCATTGTGATTTGTGTTATTAGAGCTAATAACGATAATTCCGATTACGAATCGCATTTCATTTTTATGTTCTGCCAGAAACATCTTTTTCTACTTTCATATCCAACTATCCTGTTATGACCTTCTAACTTACCTTCTTATTTTAAATGAGCGGACTTTGTAAGAGTCATCACGTTTTTTTTTTGCAAAATAAGTATTCTTAGCACATCCAGTCAGTAAATTATGGTAGTTAAAGTTGGACATCTAAGAACAGCTCGAAGTCTTTGTGCGAAAATTGAAAAATAGGTTAGTGAAGTTTCTTTTAAAGAAACGCAACGATGCTAGTATAATTACATTGGAAGTATAATATTAAAATTATTAAATGCTATTTTTACAAACGATTTATTATTAAAAATACATTTTTAGAATAAAATACAAATGAGTGGTCTGCAGCAGCTTTGCATGTGTCCCTACGCATACACAAATATAACTCTCGCTTAAATTACTCCATATAAAACACGAAAACTCATATATTTACTGATGGTAACTGTCAGTATTTATACGGTATTTAGTTACATGAATAATTACACGGGGATTGGGGAGAAAACTGATATTACTAGCTACATGAATACTGGAAAATTTTCAGTATTACAATATTTACAATGATCGATGTACCTGCTCGAAGAGTTTATCAAATAACTGTTAATCAAAATTACTATAATTGATCTTTTTGTTTTTTTTTTTAGCAAAATTTACTTTTTAAGTATTTTTAGTAAAACTAGAAATTTTTTAATTAGACAATTAAACTCGATAACATGCATAAATATTTAAATCAAAATATGTCTATTTCAGATTTTCATCTTTAAAAACTATTGCCGATAGAAAATTTGTGGTGAAATCGATTAAAAATTATTCTGAACGCATAGAAAACTTTAGTGAAATTCTTTACAATAAAAATGTTTGTAATGCACAGCCTGCAAGGAGGGCATGCCTTAAAAATTGGATATGTAATTTGTAAAACAATAATTTTTTATCGCATGTATAATTATTTAGCTACTCTTAAAAGTTTGATTAAAACTTTATGACTTTGTGAATGTATGCAAATATAATGTCACCGGAGT